GAAAATACCCCGTGGCTGTGGGTGCCATGGGACAGAGAGAGAGAAACAGCCAGCGTTTCTCACAGCAGCTTGGGAGAAGTTTTAGGGAGCTAGAAAGACGTGATAACTTGTTGACTATAAACAAATTGCAGGTGCTGTTTTTCTACTTTATTTTTCCGTTCCTTGCAAGGACAGTGCATGAGAAAGATGTTTCTGTTAGTTAGCCAATAGAATAGAATCTGTTGTACCACTCTATAAAAACCTCATGGTTCTTTTGAATAAATCCTTCTTTGCCTTTTCTACGATCCTGCCTCTCGCCTGTTCCTGCCCTGACCCCAGTGCAAGAGTGATACATGGCCTAAACCCAAACCAAACAGAGGTGAAAGCAACACAAACTGAGCTGAGGTTAAAGGAAGGAGCTGCTTTCCAAAGCGCTTTGTTCTGCCACAGTAAAGGATGCGTCACCCCAATGCAATTCAAGCTTTCTGCTCCTTCCCAAAACACAAACATTTGTTGCCCGTTTCCCAGGAGTTCTGTCCTCCAAGGGCTCCCCAAACACTCCTCAGCCAGGGAAGCCAACTCACCTCTTGGAGCCGGGGGTCGCTTTCTGCACGGCAGAATTGAAGAAGGCGTCGCTGAAGAAGTCGAGGGAGCCGCTGAAGACGACGCGGGCGTTGTTGCGCGCCTGCAGCCCCGCGATCAGCAGCGTGTTCTTGCCCACGGCGTGCGGGTACTGCGGGGCAAACAGGCACAGTTTGCTGTGGGGTGGGACAGGCTGGCTGCAGCAGCACCAGCTGCAGTTAAGGAGTAACCACGAAGCTCAGAAAAAACAGGAAGAGGATTCTGCTAGCACTCCAGCTGGGATGGAAGGGGAGAGATGCTTTGATCTAGGCTGGCCTCTCCTCCAGAGCCTGGAGGACACGTGTCCCTCGCACTGAAAAGCTCCTCAGAAAGCAGAGGAAGGCAACATCAGGAAGTGTCACAGACATCTTTTATGAAAAATCCTTTCCTTAGGATTTTTGCTCCTGAGAAGCTGAGAGGCCTCAGGAACAAAATGTAACCAATGGTTATCTGCTGCTGTGGAATGCAACAGGTGGAGCTGGGATTGGCCCATGTTGGTTGTTTCTAATTAATGGCCAATCACAGTCAGCTGGCTCAGACACAGAGTCCGAGCTACAAGCCTTTGTTATCATTCTTCCCTATTCTATTCTTAGCCAGCCTTCTGATGGAATCCTTTCTTGTATTCTTTTAGTATAGTTTTAATACAATATATATCATAAAATAATAAATCAAGCCTTCTGGAACATGGAGTCAGATCCTCGTCTCTTCCCTCATCCTAAAACCCCTGTGAACACCATCACAGGGAAGCAGCCAAGAGCCCAACCAAAATCAATCAGTAGATCAAACACTCCAGGATTTTCCCAAGCAGCTGAAGTTAGAGGGACTGAATTGCAGGAGCACAGCTCAAAACAGGAGAGAAAGGAAGGGAGCATACCTGAGTGATGGGCTTATCTGGGAAGAAGGAGTAGGAAGTGGAAGAGCCAGTGAGGATATCCAGCACCAGTGGGTTGTCAGGATCAGCCACCATCCTTGCAGGGAAAGCCACAGTGAGCAGCACAAACACCCCAGGGTCCCCACACCCAGAGGAATGTGGGGCCACCTGCTCAACCCCATGGACCTTCTCACCCTTCTACCTGCTGAGAAACTAAATATTTCTTCCACGATTTTATTAGGAACCATTCCTAAGTCAATACCTAAACCACTTTGGAGGATTTCCTTCTACTTTTGTTTGAAATCAAGAGAGATTTGTTAAGCTCACGTTAAGAGCCCCAGGGGTTTACCCCATGCTCACCTTGCAGCAACACCCCGGGTTCAACTGCTCCTCCCCCACCTCACCCCTGCTGCTCACCCAACTCCTCGGAACAGGATGGGGTTCAGGGCTGCCTTCCCCACAATGGTGGGGGCCTTCAGGAGGTTCTCAGTGTCAGCCACAATCAGGGTGTGCTGGGGAAACAAGAGAGATCCATGTGAGGTGAGTTGGGGTCTAATGACAAACAGCAACTTCTCAGTTAAAAGTTTATTTTACAGACAATTACAACTGTTCAGTGAATGTTGTCGTTCAATTAAAAAGCAAAACAGCAGTATTTCTGTGTTTATGATCACATTAGGTTAACACTGATCTTCAAGGAAATACAAACTGCCACTTGATAAAGACAGCAACACCTACAGTGTTTTATTTCCCTGCATTTAGCAACCTTCATCCTCAAACCAGGACAACATGCATGTATGTACTGCTTCAACAGTTTACCTTAAACAAAAATTACCAGAGTAGATTTAGCTCAGACTTTAATATATGTTTTAATTTTAAAATGCTGGATTACACCAGGCAGACAAAATTGTAGAAATTTGTGTGTTTCTCTACTGATCTGAAAATCTGGGACTGAAATTCTCCCTTCCCACACCTGAAGTGTTGCACTCGGCATCTGACACGCTTCACCCTCAGGTGAAATTCCCCCCCAAGCTTCAGAGGGATCCAGAACCAGGATTAATCACTGCCTGCACACAGTGACCATCTGAAACCAGAGCCTGAAGCACCCTGACAGCAGCAGAACTGAATGCTGCAACAGGGATTATTTCCCACTTTCCTGGGAGGAGCCGGGGAGAGAAGGGATAGAGGAAAAACAGGAGCACAAGGACAGAGGATTCACCCCTCGAGCTCTGCACCCAGCCCAGCAGCCAGAAGGAGCAGGCAAGGCCCTTACCTGGCCAGGGTCAGAGATGTCGTAGTTGTGGTGGTCGATGACCGCTGTCCTCTCCTCATCGAACTCGATGCCACACTCGCTGCCCAGCTCTCGCAGGGGGTCACCTGCAGGGACAATGGATCCTCTGGCACACCACACAGAAACTCAGCACTAAATTCAGCTGAGAGTCGCGTGTTCAACGCTCTATAAGCCAAACCCCAGGGAACAACACGACCTCCTCACTGAGTTCCCACTGAACATGGTACTAAAGGCATGAATCAGCCATTTCCTCCCCGAGCAAGCCCTGAGGTGACGAGGAGCAGCTGCCTTTGCTGCAGTGAATGAATTCTCTGCAGGGACACCTGCACTCACCGATGTCCGAGCTGGCGGCAACAAGGACACTGCCGCCGCCGTCGATGAACGCGGTGATGGTCTCCACATTGATGTTCCCACCAAAGTCTGAAAGAAAACAGCAGGAATCCATGGCTGGAGCTCAGAAATACCCCCCCCCCCCCAGTAGAATTAAACCACAGCAAATCACCAAATCAATGAAAGAACCACCAATAAAGGCTTGGACAGAGCTGCAGTTTGCTACTGAGTACATCCAAAGTGTAGAACTTCACTAAAATTCACAGAGCAGCTGGAAATGCCCTTCCAAAGATGTCATCAAGCTCCACAGGTTTCCCCTCCACATTTACCTTCTATGGATGGGGAGAAGATGATGAGGTTGTCATACAGGAACTCCCCATACTTTATCAGGGACAGGCCGGCGTCATCCGCTGTCCGGAAGGTGAGGTCGAAGCCCCTGTCTGCAGCCAGGACACAAAAGGGACAACTTCTGCATGCCATGAAAGCACACATGGAGCAGCACAACTGCAGCAGGAGCCAGAGCTTTGTTTCCCCAGTGAAGGAGCAGTTTGGAAACACTGCCTTTTAAGAGCAGCACCTGAGAGTTCCAAATAAACCCAGGGAGTGGATCCCCTGAAGAGCCCTGATGTCAAAGGATGCCTCACTCTCACCCATCAAACAGGGACTGAGGCTGCAGGGCACCTAAACACAGGCACAGCTGAGAAAACCCCCATTTCCTGCCTCATTCTGACCAGAAGATCCCAAACACTCATCCCCTCCTCCTCCAGGGAACCCCAATCTTCTCCCTCTGCCTGGCCAGGGGACCCCCAACACCTCCCCCAATACCATGGAGCCCCTATTTCCTCCCTTGGCTTGGGGTCTCCTCCTCACTCAGCCTGCCCAGGGAACTCCAACAGCACCCCCCTTGCAATCTCCTCCTTCAGCCTGACATGGGGACACAAATCTTTTTCATTCTGACCAGAAGAACCCAAACAACCCCTTCTCCCCAGCAACACCAGTCTCCTATTCTGCCTGACCAGGGGATCCCGATCTCCTCCCCCATTCTGACATGGGGAGCCCAATCTCCTCTCTCACCCAGGCACAGCGTCCCCATCACCTCCCACAGACTGACCAGGAGACCTCAAATACTCCATTCTCCCTCAGGGGACCCCAATCTGCTTCCTCAGCCGGACAGGGGACCCCAATCTCCTCCTCCGCTCTGACATGGGAACCCCAAACACCCCCTTTTTCCGCCTGGAAACTCCAATTTCCTCCCTTTGCAGCATCCCAAATCTTCTCCCTTATCCTGAACAGTGAACTCCAACACCCCCCTCTCCCCTAGGGGACCCTCATCACTCCCCCATCCTGACGAGAGGACACAGCCCCTTCCAGCAAGGGACCCCTGGCTGCGCCCTCAGCCCAGCCAGGGGACTCCAATCCGAAGACCCCAAACATCCCCTTTTCCCTCAGGTAACCCCAACCTCCTCCCCCATCCTGACCCTGGGTCCCACCCCATCCAACCCCTCCCGGGATCCCGCCGCGGCCCGCTCGGTACCCGCGAGGCTCCGGAAGAACATGGAGTGTGTGTCGCGCAGGTTCCCGTTCTCCAGCAGCACCAGCGTGCGGGGCCCGCCCTCAGCGCCCGCCGCCAGCACCGCCAGGAGCCCACACACAACCACAGCGGCCGCCGCCATCTTGCTCCCGGTCGCCGAACTACTCCAGAGGCGGGCAGCCTCCAGCCAATCAGCGCCAGCGCCGAGCAGCCTCCACCCAATCAGCGCCAGCGCCGAGCAGCCTCCAGCCAATCAACGACAGACAGATCCGCGACGCTGGGACGCAGCGCACGCGCCGTCACGGCCGCCGTCGCCACGGAAGAGGGAGGGCCCCGCTGCTGTCCCCTCCCTCCTGCGCGGCGCCCACGCCCGCGGTGGGTCAGAAGCGGCGGGCGCTGGAGCTGGCGTTGCCCTTCCTGCGCCTGGTGTCGGCGCGGGGCGCCAGGGGCTGCAGGCGGAAGGGCCGGGCTGGGGCGCGGTGCTGCCCGCAGAGCCCGCGGGAGCTGCGAGAGGAGCGAAAGGGGGGTGGTGGGGCAGCGCAGGACCCCAAAATGCGGCTGCGTCCCGCGAGAAACCCCCGAGAGGTCAAGAGGTTAAGGCGGAAATTATCTTGGGTGGGTCACCTATATTATAATAAAATATACTGAAATGCTTGATTTCTCAAGGAAAAGGAGGAAAATGAGTGCCGGCGATATCTGGGCAAGGGGGATTACCTTGGTCCAGCTGCAGGATCTGGCTGGCTCGCCGGGATCGGAAGCAGTTGCTGGCAATGGTCTCGCTGTCGCTCCTGTCCAGCACTAGCCTGGAGTGGTCTTCCTCGGGCTGCAGGTGGCAAACGCTGTCAGCAGCGCCAGCAATGAGGCAAAATTGGTAAAATGGGATAGAAATGGAGGAGGAATGGGCCGTACCGCTGGCTCCCTGCTCTCATTCGAGGGGCTTGTCCGGCCAGGTTTGGGCTGTGGCAGGGCTGGAACCGCTGTGGGAAGAGATGGTCGCTGTGTGTACAACAAAAACCACCCTGCTGGCTGCGCTCCCTGATCCCGGCACTCTCACATTCCCGAGGGATCCGCACCAAGTGCCACCTTTGTTACTCACACTTTGCAGACAAACCGTGTGTGGAGGATGTTACGAGTGCACGCAGCCCGAGCGTGGCCTGCCGAGCATGGCAGAGCCATGGTCACCTCCCTGTCCCCCACAGTGCCCTCCTCTCCCCAGGCACTGTCCCCTTGTGAGAAATGAAACCCTGGAGATGAGAGCTCTTTTTCAGAGTGGTAATTGCTAGTTGATGTTAATGAAGTTGATAGGGTCTTAATTTGAAGTGTTGGTCTGTTGTTAAATATTGAATGTTAAGAGTTCTGGGACTTGCCTTTAGCTGCTGCTGTTAAGTGTTTTACCCTGTATTTATATCCCTTTCCATCACACTCTGTATTTGTGCCCCTTTCCATCAGGAACCACTTCCCCTGCTCCCAGGGGGACTTGCACCCAGACTGAATTTAAATAAGAGGATGTGGGTCCTATAGGAACCCTCTCAAAAACAACAAACCAGCACATAAACTATGATTTTAACCCAGCAGAACCACACTAAATCACCCACCCTTGACCAGAGCCGGATTCCGTCCTGCCACCATAAATTTTAATAGTACTCAGCTTGGATGATACCCCTAAGCTACGAGCCAGCTTCAATATTTAGAAACTTTTCTAATTTAGGTACAAATTAGGATTAAATAAAATAAATTAATCCAGAGCAAAATTAAATAAATCCAGAGCAGCTGTGGCTGCCCCTGGATCCCTGGCAGTGTCCAAGGCCAGGCTGGATGGGGCTTGGAGCAGCCTGGGATAGTTGAAGGTGTCCCTGCCTAAGGGAGAGATTATTCCATGTCTGTTTTAAAGAAAGTCTTCTCATGTTTCTCTACAGGGATGATATTTGAATGAAGCTGAACCTAATCTTATCTTAGAACTCCTGGAATTTCCTAACTTTGGTTAAAAAAGTGCAATATTTCTTTGATAACCTAAACACCCAAATAAAGCAAGTCCTTCATGTGCAGGTCTAAGACTGTACACACAGATATCAATTTTTTTGCAGACCCTCTGATTCTACCACAAAATATCAGAGCAAAACTGATTTTCAAGTGTTTTGAAAATGAAGATTTTAAATGTAAAATTTAAGAGCATTACTTTATAATGTTTTGTTTCCTCCTCCAGAAAGCGAGCTCAGAACGGGCAGCAGCTGCAGCAGATCTGAAGGTCGGCAGAGGGAGTCGCATCCCCTCCCATCCCAACACGTGCTCCTCCGCCAGGTGTCACACACTGAGCCCTTACCGCTGCAGGGGTTTGGGCTTAAAAGCTTAATCCCCCACCTGAGGTGTGAAAAATGCCTATTTTATGATTGGCTTTTCGCAAATGTTAAAATGAATCTTATATGTGTTGTGTTAGAAAGTAATACTGTATTAATTTCCTTAAGTAGTGTGTTAAATGTAGTTTTAGGTTATAACAAAATGTTAAAATAGAAACTATGCTATGTAAGATACTTTTTTTTCTAAAGAAAGGACTTGCACTGAGATAGCAGCTACAGGACACCTAAATCTTGCAGAGAAAAAGAATTTCTTGCCCCATTATCAGGAGAAACAAACTTCTTCCTTGCTCGGGCAGGACGACGCCGTTAGGAATATGAGGAAGAAGCTGACACTGCCCAGACAGAATCCTGTGTTTGAGTGGACTTTATGGGTCATGTTTGAGGTGTATGAATATGCAACAGGTTATTGTTTTTAAGGGTTAATCCTCTGTGAACGTGGGTCCTTTTTCAGGCTTATGCTGCCCAGAAAAAGGTACCCAGATGTCTGTAACTCTTTGTTTTTATTGTCTTATATTGTCCTAATTCAAATTGAAGAAATTATTATTATTCTAATTGTATTACTATTTTTATAACCATTTTATTACTATTAAACTTTTAAAATTTTAAAAGCAAGTGATTGTCGTTTTTCACATGAGGGATTTCATAAAAGCTCACACACACAACGTGGTGTATGAAATCCTGACACAGCCAGAGTCATTCTCTAAACCCACAGCCCTGGAACACAAAAAATGAGGGTGTGGAGGAGGAAGGAGCTGCTCCCTCACCTTCTCCTGCAGCTCCTCCAGTGCCTTGGCTCAAAGCTCCTCCTGGATGGAGTCATGGACCTTGAGGAGCAGCCTGCTGGCCTCGCTGGATTCCTGCAGGGCTTGTGCTTTTCCTGCAGGTCCTGGTTCTGAGCCTGCTCTCCCCCAGCAGCCGCTGCTGCAGCACCTGCAGAAGGGAGCACCGAGCTCAAGAACAGCTCCACAAGCATGGAGGAGGCATGACCTTCCACAGGTGACATTTGGGAAGACAGAAAAATGGGAATTATGAGAAGATTTTCTGCCCTGAGCAATCATAGCAGGTTGTACTTATTATAAACACTTTCTGTCATAAAAAGAATCCCAGAATCCCAGAGTGGTTTGGGCAGGGAAGGACCTTAAAGGCCATCTCACTGCCCCCCCTCAGCAGGGCTACCTCCAGCCCTGTCCAACGTGGCCTTGGACACTTGCAGGCATCATGGGGCAGCCACAGCTTCTCTGGGCAAAATACTCCCCAAAGGCAAAGCATGTGTTACTGCAAGCACCTCAGTCAACAAGGATGATCAGAAATCCATATCTGAGCTCATAAAATTATCTTTAAAACCCTTGTTTTGTGTACTTTATATTTAAATTCTTATTTAAATAAACATCAAATATTTTTTTTCAAGGATGCACAAAAGATGCCAAAATCACACAGAGGATTATTTTAACTGGTGGATGTGGGAGTGTTAGATCTGAAAGGCACAGGATGGTTTCCATTTTGGGGCAGTATCAGCCATGATTTGTGTCACCTCAGCATTGTTAATGCAGCACTGGCACAGGCCTGTGTTTGAAATCATCTCTGGCATGGAAATAAAGCCATGCTCCAGAGCATTCCTTTGTCTAGCTCAGGTTGGCCAGCACTGTCTCAAATTGGCTGATAACCCCTTTACTGATAACAGCCTCCTAATTATCTCCAAACCCTGTGAAACAGCTCATTCTCCCCCAGAACTGACCTGCTATTCTGCTGCACTGCTCCTGCCAGGTGACCTTCCCTTTCCTCTGCTTAACACACACTGGATCCAAGGATTCAGTCTTGCTCTGCTGAGCTGCCCTGATGTGTAAAGCTTGAGCAGGTGCCTTTGAAATCCCCACACCTGTGGAACCAAACCCTCCTGCCCAATCTGCACAGAACCTGGATTTAACAATGTGATTAGAAGGGCATTTTCCCTTGTTTGCCACAAAAGGATTCATCCTTGCAATAGGACCACTAACATTTGATATCAAATCCAAAGGAAGGCTTTCTTTAGAGATCTCTCCCTTAACAGATAGAATTGCCCATAAATTACAGGCACTGCTATTCTGCATTTCATAGCAGCTCCATTTTGAGCCAGGAGAGACCCAACAGAGTGAGCACACACCACAGGGAAGCTGAAAGACTGGTTAAAACCCACAGAAGGACTGGTTAAAACCCACAGAACTGTTCAGAATCAGACTGTCACAGCATATCTTGGCTTGAGCTTTTCTAATTGTATACAGTTCCACACAATGGAGGAAGTGAAAATTCAGGAGAATTTGCTTCAGTCATGTATTTCTGGAGCAGCCCAAGCCCCCATGCTGCTTCAGTATGTGGTGGTGTGCTGTGGCTGAGGGAATTCTCTCAGGACAGCTCTCACACAGAGAAAACCTTGAACCAGGTTGATTTTGATTTGGGCTGAACACGAGTCCAAGCCTGCATCCCTCATATCCCAGCCCTGTCCTCCAGGCCCTGACAGTGCCCCTGGAATAGGATTATTGGGAAAGTTTGCTGTTAGTTGTGGATGATGTGCTGCAAACTCTGTGAGATGCATGAGCTGGAGGCAAAAGTGGCCTCAGTGATGGGAAGAGTCCATGCATGAGCCACAGGACAGCTGCTGCCTTACCTGTAAGACATGAGAGGGCTCCAAGTGTGCTTCAAGGTCCTCTTTCAAGAGGAAAAGGAGGCATCTCCATAACCTGTGTGGGCACTTAAGGCTCCCCTTCCTACAGCTCCAGGCAGAATTTGTTACCAGGATTTGTTACCACTTTTTGGCATCCATGTTTGCTGACTTGAACATCTCCATTCTTCTCTCATAATTCTGGCACTCAGCCCCACTGAGCACTGCAGGGAACAGCTCTTCATCCACCCAACAGGGCAAAGTTAGTTCTGGGTTAAAAACAGCCTGGAGGAGAGAAGGCTCCAGGCAGACCTTAGAGCCTCTCCTGGTTGCCTAAAGGGGCTCCAAGAAATCTGGAGAGGAACTTTGGACAAGAGGCTGGAGTGCCAGGACAAGGGAGAATGGCTTCCACTGCCAGAGGAAGGAATGGAATTGGAATGGAATCCTTCCCTGGCAGGGTGGGCAGGCCCTGGCACAGGGTGCCCAGAGCAGCTGTGGCTGCCCCTGGATCCCTGGCAGTGCCCAAGGCCAGGCTGGACAGGGCTTGGAGCAGCCTGGGACAGTGGAAGGTGTCCCTGCCATGGCAGGGGGTGGAATGGGATGAGCTTTAAGGTTCCTCCCACCCAAACCAGTCCATCATTGTCACAGACGTATTTTCTGAAAAATCCTTTCCTTAGGATTTTTCCTCCTGAGAAGGTGAGAGGCCTCAGGAACAAAATGTAAGCAATGGTTATCTGCTGCTGTGGAATGCAACAGGTGCAGCTGGGATTGGGCTCATGGGTTGTTTCTAATTAATGGCCAATCACAGTCAGCTGGCTCAGACTCTCTGTCCGAGCCACAAGCCTTTGTTATCATTCTATCTTTTTCTATTCTTAGCCAGCCTTCTGATGAAATCCTTTCTTGTATTCTTTTAGTATAGTTTTAATACAATATATATCATAAAATAATAACTCAAACCTTCTGAAACATGGAGTCAGATCCTCATCTCTTCCCTCATCCTCAGAGCCCTGGGAACACGGTCACACATCATTTGAACTCACATGTGCCTGGTTTGGGGCTGCACTGCAGGGGGAGCTCAGCAGCTGTGGTGCCATGGCAGAGCTGCCCCTGCCTGAGGGTGTGCCCGGGGGACAGAAGGCACAGGCAGGGATGTCACTGACCTGGCCAGCACCAGCTGCTGCTCTGCAGGCAGGGAAATCCCCGGGGCAGGGACAGCTCCCACTGCTCCAACACTGCCCCTGCTCACCCCACTGGTGTCTGTGACAGTCCCTGGTGCTGCTGGGTCCTGGTGACAAGAGGAAAACAAAGGCTGTAGCTCTGGAAAGACACAGTGAGAGTCCTGGGGGAGATGAAGCACAATGTTACCCACTCAGGGTTATTCATCCAGAGGGGAGAAGGAGCCTGGAGGGTACCTGGGCTGAGGTTGGCTCTTTATGTGCTGCAGCAACAGCATCTTCATGTGAAGGTGTGTGGTGAGAGATTGTTCTAGTCCATGTGGCAGCTGAAAAGAGGAAATACACACAATGTTGGTAATGAGCTGTGCAAAACTAGACAGAAATCTGTGAAACCATCTCCCAAAGCCTCCCCCCAAAGCTAGGAATGACGTGTCTGGAAGGAAAAGGGCTGTCATTCACCTGCTTCTGCTGGGCAGTAAAAACCATGAAACACTGAGAGGGTGCATCAGGAAAGGAAAGCAGATTGTACAGGGCTGGGAGAGCCTGGCTCCAAAAATCATCCATTTCACAGGCTGGGGGTGCACGTTTGTAATCAGAGGGGAAAGAAATAAAGAACCTCTCAACCTTCACCTCAAAAAGTGATAGCACCAAAAATTAAGAATACAGGTTCAGGAATTACTAGTGGGTGATCAGTGCTGTATGAGCACATTGCAAACCATGCTCTGAGGCACTGCAGGTGTCCATGAAAAGCAGAAATGGGGAGGGAGAGGGAGAGGAGGCAATTTCTAGGATGTGAGAGGAATATCTGCCTTGCAGTGCGCGATGGTGTGGATAATCCACCGGGAGAGCAAGTGCCGGAGCACATTTGCATACGGAGGAAGAGACTGCGGCAGCCACCCCGCCCTGCCCTCGGCAATGAGAGTCCAAGGGGAGGGGACAGAGCAGTGACCTCTGCTCCAGAGCCACGCTGCCCTCAGCAGGGGCAACTCTGCTCCGTGGGCAAAAAGCAGGTGTTTTACTCAAAAATGAGGCTTTTCATTGCCTCAAGGCTTACAGGGCTGGGTCAGGGTCAGGCTGGTTCCGACAGGGAAAAAAGTCGAGGAAAAAGGGAAGAGGACAAAGCTGGGACAGAGTCTTAAATTCAGGAGAGGCAGAGTCCCTGCTCCTGCTGTGGATGAGCGTGGGCTGAGAGCAGGGACTGCTGCTGCCAGGCAGCACTTGCTGCAGTGGCTGCCACAGATGTGAGTGCAAAACCAGTCCCTGCTGCTGAGGGAACCTGGGCTGGGCTGCACAGCCTCCACACCTGCTTCCTTCCTGAGGAGATGCTGAGAACAGACACCTTGAGATCAAAGTCACCCCTCAGGCTGCTGCTGTCCTTCTCCAGGGGGGCACGGGATGCCTGCTCTGCTTGGTAGCTGGCCTGGAGCTGGGCCAGCCTCTCCTGGAACTCCTGCAAGGCACAGCAACAGCCCTGGGACTGTTCCCAGGGTCACATCCAGGCCCATTCAAGGTCACACCTTATGCCCATCCCAATACAACTCCACCACCAGTATTCACTGACTTTTCCTGTGACTTAAGTAGACACAGGAGTGATTGTTGTTGATCAAAGTGACTGTTCAGCCCTAGAAACAGCTGCCTTGGCTGGTTGTGGTGCCCTGGAATGAACTTTCTAAAGAGCAAAGAGAGAGTTTTGTTTCCCTCTGGCTCTCTATTCCTCTTTTTCCTCATCTCTGTACTCTTCCTAACACCTTTGACTATGCTTTCCTCAACTCTATTCCTCTCTTTTCTGACAATTTCACATGTAGTTCCTCCAAAAATTCTTCCTGGGAATCCATTCCAATCCATCCCCAGAGAAGTGGAAACAAGAGGTGGCTTATCATAAGGCACAGGGCCTCCATAACACATGGTCTGTTCATAGGAGAAGTCCAAGGATTACAAAATAAAGAAAAATAGAAAAAGAGAAGTGTTCTGGAAAGGCTGAACCATATTTGTAATGATTACTATGAAAAAAAGTTTTAGTCAAAGCCACTCTTCCCAATTTACTTCTGTGATCAGCTGCTTCTCTGCTTCCAGATCCACCTGGGGTTTGAGGTAGGGAGCTGGATTTGCTCCCAGGTGAGCAGCCCCAGCAGGTAGAAGCCCTACAAAGCAAAGCAGAAATAAAAATCACTCACAGTCACAGGGTGGGATTGTCAGCAGAATTCCTGGAAAGAGAACAAAGAAGCTGGGTGCCAGGAAAGAACATGGCAACCCCTGTGCTCCTTCAAACAGCACTCGCTGCCAAAATGCTGCCAGCCCGGGGCTCCAGAGCTGTGGGGAGAGAGGGAGAGGTTCCAGCTTCAGGGGAAAATGGAAGTGAATGTAATTGGATGGTATTTATACATAAAAGTATCTCTTTCAAAGAAAACCAGGACTTGTTTCCAGGGCTATGCTACAGATTTGGGAGATAAAAGACACCGGGAAGATGAAAAGTGCAAGGAAATTACCTTTGTTCCCAGCTGTTTCTGAAGGAGGCAGAAAGGGGGGAAAAGTCATCCTACAGCCTTATTCCCTGCTGAAAATTGCCCTTTTTTAGGGGCTAATTCTCCAAAGGTGATCAGCTCCCTAAAGACTGCTCTCCCCTACATTTGCTCCTACATTTCCTATTCCTGCTCCAGAGGACAGAGCAGGTGTGCTGAGGCTGGGCTGAGTCCTGAGGCACTGCCATAAGGATGGCAAAACTTCTCTTGTAGTGTCAAAAATATACATTGTAGGAAAAAAGAGGCTGAATGCTTATTTGAAAACATACATATATATTCAAAAAAGAATTTTACAGTATTATTTCTTTTGCAGCTCATTTTTGTTCTTCCTACTGAAACCTCTCTTCTGCAACTGACCAAATTCTAGCCACAATCACCAAAAATAACCATGGATTTGAATCACGTTCAGCCTTTTCTAACAGAACTTGCCACTATTGAAAACACTGGATTATTGAGATGGTCTTTGCCATCTCAGTAGAATAAGGTCAATTTGGCAGCAGTGAAGGAAAAGTCTGTAAACAGAATGGAGGATTCTAAAGATCCCAACAGCTTGGAGTCTGTAGGGAATGTGTCTGCACCTGCCATCCACCAGGGCTGAGATGACGTTGCCCAGGGCAGACAGGGACAGGTTGATTTTGGTGGCCTCTTTGAGCCTCTCCCCTGTGGCACCAGTCCTTGCCTGTCTCTCACTTCCTGCCAGATGCACCAAGTTGAGTTTGGCAGCCCTGAGGTGATCCTGCCCTTGCTCATCTGCATGGAAACAATTCCCAGTCAGCTCGTAGGAGGAAGCATCTCAACAGTCAAGAACCAGGACTATTTTGGCACCCTGTCCTGTTCCAGCCCTGCTCTTTGTCTGCTTTGGGCCCTGACTCCCTGAAGTAAGAAAAAATCTACTTAATCTAAACACTGCACAGTTTAGTGCTTTTCTCAACAGGATCCACAATAAAAATTCATGCCTGTTCTTGCTCTCTCTGAACACACACACACACCCCTCCACATATTTCAGCAGTATTTACAGTTTCAGCCAAAGTCCTCTACAAGTAACATGATCAGACCATGAGTTTATACAACTTTTTCCTCCTCAGTTTGTTTCATGAGGGGAAATTTAGATGAGATATACAGAAATCCTTCCCTGTGAGGGTGGGGAGGCCCTGGCCCAGAGCAGCTGTGGCTGCCCCTGGATCCTGGGAAGTGTCCAAGGCCAGGTTGGACAGGGCTTGGAGCAGCCTGGGACAGTGGGAGGTGTCCCTGCCATGGCCCAAACCCCCCAGATGAGGAGATGGATCCTGGTGAGGAGTCAAACCCAGTGAGCTGGTGCCATTCCTGTTGTTGTTCTATTATTTTTCTAGAGTCCCATAATGATATTATCAGACTTCTAAAGTCTATACCTCTTTGGTGTATTCTCATGCCACTGATCTTCACTGACTCCTTCTTCTGCACACTGTTCTCTCTCAGTTCAGAGCTCCTCCAAGGCTCTCCCTGACTGGCTATCCCACCCCCTTTTATCCCAGTTATCTTCATTGGTCACAGCTGCAGCCCAATTAAGGACATGGCAGCTGCAGCCCATCAAGGACAACCAGGACCTCTGGGGCAAAGCCCCTATACAGATATTCAAACACAATACATCTCCTCTACTGTAATTCCCATCACTTTAAGGCAGGAGCAGATTGAGCTGAGGCTGCCCAGCTGCCTGGACACACACCTTACATATGGAGCACCTTCCACAGGGAGCACCTTACACAGGGGACACCTTACACAGGGAGTACCTTACACAGGGAATATCTTACACATGGAGTACCTTACACAGGGAACACCTTCCACAGGGAGTACCTTCCACATGGAGCACCTTCCACAGGGAGCACCTTCCACAGGGAGTTCCTGCTTCCTAGTCTGCATTTGAGGCTGGAACAGTGTGATGGCACAGGGTCCCTGTGAGGATCTGGTTCCTTTAGGAGCCCTGCACTTTAAGTGGCTCCTTTCCTTTCCCAGCCTCATACAGAGCAGAGTTGGGCACCATTCCTGCTGTCCTAAGCACTGCACCACACTCTTGGATGTCCACATCCCAAATATTCCATAAGATTGCAACCCAAATTCGAGGGAAGAGCTCCTTTAGCATTCCAAGCACAGAAAGCATTGAGATTTTAACTGAATCCACCCTTTTCAAGGCAGACATCTACAAATCCTGGCCTTGAAAGGAGTCAGAGTTCTATTTTACAGCAGGGACACCTTCCCCTATCCCAGGCTGCTCCCAGCCCTGTCCAGCCTGGCCTTGGGCACTGCCAGGGATCCAGGGGCAGCCCCAGCTGCTCTGGGCACTCTGTGCCAGGGCCTGCCCAGCCTCCTCTCGGTGTCTCTGTGGTCGAGATGACCCCAAAGTGTCACAAAGTCCCTTTTTCCCAGTCCTGAGATCGAAGGAGTCAGGATTCTTTGGCTGTGGGTTTCAAGGTTGTTTATTCTCTGTTGTCTATGACATTGTTTTTCTGACCTGCTGAGGTCTGTCCAGTCAGTTGGTCTGTGGCACACTGACCACCCTCGGGGTGGGGTTATCTTCTTATACTAAAAACTACATGTACTTTATTTACAATAATTTTCCAATACCTATCACCTATGTTAGACAGTGTGTTTCTACTCTAAACCAATCCAAAAGTGCCACCATCACCCAGAAGATGGAGGACAAGAAGAAGAAAGAAGGACAAGGCACGCCCAAATCCCTCCATCTTGACTTCTGAACCTGTGATGGTGTTCACAGGGGTCAGAGGATGAGGGAAGAGATGAGGATCTGACTCCATGTTTCAGAAGGCTTGATTTATTATTTTATGATATATATTGTATTAAAACTATACTAAAAGAATAGAAGAAAGGATTTCATCAGAAGGCCAGCTAAGAATAGAAAATAAGGAATGAATAACAAAGGCTTGTGGCTTGGACAGAGAGTCTGAGCCAGCTGACTGTGATTGGCCATGAATTAGAAACAACCACATGAGCCCAATCCCAGCTGCACCTGTTGCATTCCACAGCAGCAGATAACCATTGGGTACATTTTGTTCCTGAGGCCTCTCAGCTTCTCAGGAGAAAAAATCCTAAGGAAAGGGTTTTTCATAAAAGATATCTGTGACATAAACCCCCATTCTAAAACCCCAAAATTCTACTTTTCTATCTTGTGACAAACTAACTATCATTCTACTTAAACTCTCGTGGCTTGTAAATCTTCACACAGTTGGTAATTTTCTCCATGGGTTAAAATGAAAGGCACAGGTGTCTTTGGCTTCGTGCTCAGAGACCCCCTGTTGTCACAGACATCTTTTATGAAAAATCCTTTCCTTAGGATTTTTTTCTCCTGAGAAGCTGAGAGGCCTCAGGAACAAAATGCAACCAATGGTTATCTGCTGCTGTGGAATGCAACAGGTGCAGCTGGGATTGGGCTCATGTGGTTGTTTCTAATTGATGGCCAATCACAGTCAGCTGGCTCAGACTCTCTGTCCGAGCTACAAGCCTTTGTTATTCATTCTTTCTTTTTCTATTCTTAGCTGGCCTTCTGATGAAATCCTTTCTTCTATTCTTTTAGTATAATTTTAATATAATACATATCATTAAATAATAAATCAAACCTTCTGAAACATGGAGTCAGATGCTTATCTCTCCCCTCATCCTCACACCCCTGTGAACACGGTCACACCCTGTCAGGGGCTCGAGCCATCCAGGGCAGCCAGAGGGATGTCCTGGGTTCTGACTCTCCCAGGGAGGAGGATTTTTCTGCTGCACCTACCATGATTTGGGATCCAAGGGTAGCTGAGGGATGATGAGTGGCCTCACAGGGTCTCCAGGTACGCACTAAGAGCGCAGATTTCCACACAGACAGTGAAGATGGAGTGGGAGCAGGAGGAGCTCTTGTTCATGAGGGTGAAGCCGCTGCTCTGTTCCTGCAGCCCCTGCACGTACAGCCCTGCTCAGGGTGCTCCTTCAGCTGCCAACAGGATAACACAAGCCAGGTCACAACAAGGGGCACTGAAAGCAGGGAAAATTACACTGGGAATGGCCCAGAACCTTGAGGGCTACGTGAAATTAAACTGCAGTATGAGAAAAACACATCTGACTGCCACCAGGAAGCCTGAGTTCTGAAGGAGGAATAAAACCCCAGAGAAAGAAGGAACCACCTTCATGGCTCAGAGAATTCAAGCTAAAAGTTGCTGATTGATTCAGACATCCCCCAGGCCATGAGGAACCCAGCTTCTATCCACCCTCCACCTTCTCTATTATTAAGCTGCATATTTTAAACAAGAATCAAAATACATCTCACCTATTATGGCAAAGGCTGTAAGATCTCCTCAGCCATAGGAAGCTTTTTTTAATACCAAAGGACAGATACAATATTCCCAGATATTGTTCCCAGTGCTTTGCTGAAGTCTTTGTTCTGAGTGGGTGGTTTGAGCTCACTGACAACATTCCCAAAGTAACACCCGTCACACACAGGTGAACTGTCACCATTTTTCTCCAGATTAATTAATTTTTAAATGAACAAAAGTCCTATTTGGGACTCTGGGTTGAGACAGAACATTAAATACCCAACAGCATCTTCTCAGTAATTATCAATTGCATAGATGAAAAGTTTCATGCAGAATGTTAATAAGCAATGGAAATATCCAAAATTTTGAGTTACCCATCAAACCTACACAAAAAATACAAAATAATCCAGAGATCCCTGCACTCCTACACCAGCCCCCTCCACACTGGGAATTTTAAATGAGCTAAATTAATTTTCCACAGCTCTGTTACACCCCACATCTGCTAAGTTCATCACCAAAACTATCTTTATCATGTCAGCTGGGATATCGAGATATGGTTGTCATGATGGAGCAGCACAGACCACATTTGGCACTGTGACTTCCAAAGAGGAGGCTCAGCTACCTCAGTGATGTTCACAAGAAATGATGTAAAACAGCATTTGCTGTTAAAAAAATCCCACAGAACAGAGCAAAAGTGGCCGCACACTCAACTGGGTGGGATTTATCCTTGTTCCAAAGCCATGATGCCCAGGATGAACCCAGTACAGTCACTGTTCATACACTGTGGCTGCTCTGTGCTGCTGAGAAGCCCAGGACTGGCCTGGCTCTGTCTGGGGGTGCTGCAGAGTCCCTGAGGAACACCTGACCCAGGACGTGGCTGTAGTCACTGAGGTGAAAGGCAAAGGAATGAACAAAATGGGATTCTGGGGGAACTGGGGGACTCAGAGGTGTGCAGTGGGGCAGCCTGGGATTTGTCTGGGCAGGACACCCTCCCTCAAGTACTCAGTGGAGGCAGTGTGAAAAACGCCAATCAGTTGTCTTTAAAATTTTAAAAGTTTAACAGTAATAAAGTGGTTATAAAAATAGTAATACAATCAGAGTAATAATAATTTGGACAATTTAAGTTAGGACAATATGGGACAATAAATACAAAGAGTTACTGACAGTCCGGGTACCTTTTTCTGGGCAGCACAAAGGACCTGAAAAAGGACCCACGTTAACAGAGGATTAACCATTAAAAGCAACAGCCTGTTGCATATTCATACACCTCATCCATGATGCATAAACTCCATTCAAATACAGGATTCTGTCTGGTCATCATCAACTTCTTCCTCTGAATCCTAACAGCGCCTTTGGGGCAGGAAGAAGTTGGTTTCTTCTGATAAGAGGGCAATAAATTCTTTTTCTCTGAAAGATTCAGGTGTCCTGTGGCTGCTATCTCGCTCCACATCCTTTCTTTAAAAAAAGTATCCTCCATAGCACAGTTTCTATTTTAACAATTTTTATAACCTAAAACTATATTTAACACACTATTTAAGAGAATTAATACAGCATTACTTTCTAACACAACACATATAATATTCATTTTCATATTTGCCAAAAGCCAATCGTAAAACACATGCGTTTTTCACAGGCAGCAACAGGCAGCGTGACAGAGTTACCCTGGAAACGGCTCTGCCCAGCTCCTGCCCGCCCAGCGCCAACAGCATCGCCATGGAAACCCGCGGCACCCCCGGTGTGGAACAAAGGAAGGGAAACTGCAGCAAGAAGTCCCCTGCTCCCACTCTCCCTCTGCAGGAGACAAGCAAAGCACGCTTGGAACATGGAGCAGAGACGGGTTTGCCTGCCTTAAAGGCAGAAACCTGTCAGGAATACCTGCCCTGTAAGGCAGTTTGGGTCTGTTGCCATCTCAGAGCGTTGCAAGGTGCTGCTGCCTTGGTTTTATACACCAGGGCAGTCCTGCAAGGAAGGAAATTGGGACAGGGGATTTCTAGCTCCTTCCAGGAATACATACAAAAGCATCTGCAAAGCCACCAAGAGGTAAATTTTATAAAGATCAGCCCCCTGGTTAGGATTTTGGGAGAGTTTACCCTCCTATGGTCCTGTAAATGTCACATGTGTTCCCACGGGGAATAACATCTACTGTGTGCCCTCAAAAAGGATCAGCCTTTTTTGTTTAGGCAGATAAAGAGATCATCCGTGGCTCCACTAGATCAGATTAAACATTTATAAGGCCCAGAATCCTCTTGCTATAGAGACAAGCATGAGATGAAGAGGAAGAAATTGCCCCATGAGCACTTTATTCCAGCCTTGTCCAGTGAAGGATTTTCACAGAGCTGCTGCTGAGCTACCAGCCACTCTCATGTGGGATACACTGGACATGTCTCCTGCATCCTGTTCCTAAACTTTCACTCAAGTCCCTCAAAAGTCCCTCTCAGCTTCCATATTTCTCATGTAACTTCATATTCTAGCACTCAGGCTTCAGACAGAGACCTTTGTTGCACTTCTGTAAGTCATGGTAACAGCCATCTGAGCTAATTAAAGCACTTAATTAAGACACATTGAGCCTGCCTCACCTCCAGCTTCTGCTTGGTGTCAGCTCCTAGAAGGTCTCCTATGTCCTCTCTGTAGATCTCCAGGCAGGAGGCTCCCAGCAGGAGCTTGGTGTTTTCAGCACACTGCAGAGCCAGGGGGGAGTGGGGGTGAGGCTGCACAGCACAGGGGAGCCTCTCCCACAGCTGGGTGCCCCCCACCCTCCAGCACCTCACCCAACCCCCCTGGCCATTCACTGCAGGTGGAACCACTCAGCACCAACTGCAGGGACCCCTGGTCCTTCCACACCTCAGGGTCACAATGGCACCTGGCATGAGGGGACAGTTAGTTCATGTCACTATGCACAGGCCCCAGCTTAAGGATGTGCAGCCACATTTCTCCTCACAGAGAAAAGCAAGGAAGGCACAACTCTTCCCAAGAATATTTCTGGGTTTCACATTCTCTGAACCTCAGAGAAAGGAAAAACCAATTCTTATCATTTGCTGTGCCTGTGTTTGTGCCAAAGTAGAATGCAATATGGAGATTGTTCACCCACTGTGATGGTGGTTTGTTCCCTTGGCCTGTCAGGGCCAGGTGTGTGTGTGTGTGTGTGTCAGGACTGCCACTGGCAGTCTCGAGATTCAGAGCAGTGTGTGCAGAGTTGAGTGCTTGGCAGTTTCAGTTTAGATGCAATGTAATATAGCATAAAACAATATAGTATAATAAAGTAATTAATTAGCCTTCTGATATCAGTGGAGTCAGATGCATCATTTCTCTCCCCTCCTTGGGGTGCCTGACAATACCATAGAGCAGTGCACCCCAAACCTGTCCCCATTCACACTTCATGCCATCAGCACTCACTTCTTGGCACAGGACACCAAAGTCTTTCTAGAAAACCTTGCCAGGATCTCTTTCACACCCACCTGTACACTCTCAAAGATGTGTTCAAACGCCCTGGGAATGGTCCCTTTCTGTGAGGAAGAATCTGCAACTCCCTGCATGGTGAAGGACTTCCCACTGCCAGTCTGGCCACAGGCAAAGATGGTGCCATTGTAGCCTTCCATGGCACCCTGGAAATGGGGGGAAACCAGAGAAAACAGCCAGCATCTTTGCCTAACTGGAAACACATTGTCCAGATTCATTCCCACCCCCTCAACAGGTGTTTTAAAGGAAGAGCTGGAAGTAAACATGAAAAGGCTGCTTAATCTTCACACGTCATCAGAGTATAGCAATTACAAAATTAGCATATAAATCAATGTTTTTCTCTCAAAACAAGGAATCTTGAAGCAGTGCAGATGTTGAAAAGCTGTTGACAACACCAACACTTAGCAAACTATAATATTTTTGCCATAGGGCACAAAAATCTTACGAGATTCAAAGAGACAACGAGAACAATAGTTGGTAGGGGGTGGCCAAGGGGATGGACTCTAGCTTTGAATAACTTTTGCTTGGCAAGCTGCTCACTGTCACTTGTCCCTGTTTCAGAGAAGTGTGGTAGGAAGAAAAAATAACTGGATTTCTTAAGGTTTAAATAAGACAAAAAAATAACCTATTCTAATATCTACTGTTTCTAGCCCTGCTTGTTCTCATGATTAGGAATTTCCATCTTAAAACCATGATGAGCCATTTAATCTGTGTTACTTCTTCTAACAAAACTTTTTTTGGGGGGGAGATTGGTCTTTTTTTGCTTAACAGGTTCATTTCTAACCTCAGCTGTTTCCTGTGCTGCTGCTAACAAGGAAACAAAGGGATCCCCTATTCTTCTGCCAGTCAAATCCAGGCTGAGGTTCCCCCTCTTCTCTAAGGTTTCTCACTTGACAGTAAAAATGTCCCTAAAATCCTCAGTTTGATACCCCAGCAGCTGTGGCTGCCCCTGGATCCCTGGCAGAGCCCAAGGCCAGGCTGGACAGGGCTTGGAGCAGCCTGGGACATTGGAAAGTGTCCCTGCCCATGGCAGGGGGTGGGATGGCATGAGGTCCCTTCCCACCCAAACCATCCTGGGATTCTGTGATATAAACATCCACCTAAAACAATTAAATGTAAGTCTCCTCAGTACCCTGCTGCTGCTAACAAAGTTTTGTTTCTTCCCAATTTCTCAGACTGTTGCTGGGACACTGTCTGCTCTCCTCTGCTGCCCAGGCTTGTAGCTAAGCCTCTTGAAGCAGTGGACAGGGCTTTCTGCCCATAAATCAGGAACCCCAAATGGTTTGGGTTGGGAGGGACCTTAAAGTTCATCTTGTTGCACCATTCTGCCACGGGCAGAAGGTGGGGAAGGTCAAGTGGATCCTGCTTCACTTAGGGATCACCTGTAGAACCCCTCAGCCCCTGTCCCGAGCTATGTGTTCACAGAACATGCTCAGCTGCAAGCAACCCACAAAGATCAGAGTCCAACGCCTGGTCCTGCATGGACACCCCAACAATCCCACCCTGTGCCTGAGAGCATTGTCCAAACGCTCCTGGAACTCATTGAGGTGCCCAAAACTGTGCGGGCTGCCCTGGGTGCCCACTGACCTCCACCAGGGGGTAGGCGATCTCGCTGTAGATGCGCTCGTAGGCGATCTCGCTGTAGATGCGCTCGGTGCTGTGCTCTCCGCCGAAGGCCCCGTCCAAGGAGAACGGCCGGGGGGGCTGGGCGGGGGCCGCGGGGTTCCGCACCAGGCACCGGCCCCGTGAGCTGTCCACGCCGACCATGGACAATGGCCCGGTGGCCCAGGGCCGCCTCCCGCCCGCTCAGCGGCCGGCAGCGCACGGCCACCTTCACCGGCTCCGCCGCCATCGCCCCCGCCACCCACAGAGGGACAGTGACGGACATGGGGTCAGTGAGAGACACCGGGGTCAGTGACAATCACGAGGGTCAGTGACACACATCGGGGTCAGTCACCCACACACTGGGGTCAATGACAGACACTGGGGTTAGCCCCACACACACCGGGGTCAGCCCCACATACACCCAGTCAGGCCCACACACACCAGGATCAGTGACACACACCGGGGTCAGTGACACACCAAGGTCAGCCCCACACACACCAGGGTCAGTGACACACACCGGGGTCAGTGACACACCAAGGTCAGCCCCACACACACCGGGGTCAGCCCCACACACGCAGGGATCAGCCCAATACACCGGGGTCAGTCAGACACGCCAGGTCAGTCACACACACCGGGGTCAGCCACAGACACACCGGGGTCAGTGACACACACCGGGGTCAGTCCCACACATGGGGGTCAGCCCCACACACTCGGGTCAGACTCCCCTCACAGGTCACCCCACCCATCCAGACCAGCCCCACAGCTCACTCGGCGGCTGGAGCAAGCCTAACCCCGGACATCTGCACCCCCTGTGGGAGGGAAGCACTTACCCCTCACTGGGGGCACGCGGGAAAAAGACCCTCGAGCGAGGGAGGCGAGGGAGAACGGGAAAGTAAGGAGAAAAAGAAGGATGCAGGGAAAAGGGGAAGCTGGGAACAGGTCTGAGGGGGAATTAGCGCAGGTCGGGGGGAGGAAACCTGAAGGGGGAAAGGTTTATGAGGGAAACCCTGGGGGGAAGCTGAAGGGCGGGAAACCCAAGGGTAAGAAACCCTGAGGTAACTTTTGTGAGCCGAGACACGCCCAAAGAGGACTGAGCAAGGGAAAACCTGAGGTGACGCCGCCGGTGGCGCGCTGGCCGGAGGCGCGCGGACCCCGAGGGCACGGCAGCGCTGAGGCGGCGGGAGGCGGCCCCGCGCATGCGCGAGCGGCGGCACGCGGTCGCCACAGCGACCGGGGCCGCGCCGGGAGAGAGGCCCCGCCCAGCGCGTCACGTGACTGACGCGGGGTCGCGCGCACGTGTTCAACGGGGTGTGCACGAGGACAGGTGTGCAATGGGGGCTGCACGAGGACAGGTGTGCAATGGGGGCTGCACGAGGACAGGTGTGCAGGGTGTCCACGAGGGCAGGTGTGCAATGGGGTGTGCACGAGGACAGGTGTGCAATGGGAGGTGCACGAGGACAGGTGTGCAAGGGGGGGGTGCACAAGGACAGGTGTGCAATGGGGGCTGCACGAGGACAGGTGTGCAGAGGGGGGTGCATGAGACAGGTGTGCAGAGGGGTGTGCACCAGGGCACAGACTGTGAGTGTGCACAGGGCCATGAGTGTGCGATGGCAGCGGTGCCCAGCTGTGGCCCCTGTGTGTGCAGGCGAGGGTGAGTGAGCACGTGGGTGTGCAACTTCCTGTGAGCACCAGTGCAGCGCTGCAGCAGTGCCACAGCATGCAGGAGAGCGTGTGAGCACACAGGTGTGAGCAGACAGGTTTGACAGGTGTGAGCACACGGGTGTGAGCACGCAGGTGTGAGCAGACAGGTGTGAGCACACGGGTGTGAGCACACAGGTGTGACAGGTGTGAGCACACGGGTGTGAGCACGCAGGTGTGAGCAGACAGGTGTGAGCACACGGGTGTGAGCACACAGGTGTGACAGGTGTGAGCACACGGGTGTGAGCACGCAGGTGTGAGCAGACAGGTGTGAGCACACGGGTGTGAGCATACGGGTGTGAGCAGACAGGTGTAACAGGTGTGAGCACACGGGCGTGCGGCACGTCCCGCCGCGGGCGGTGTGAGCAGCAGCCGAGCCCCGCTCCGATGCACGAAGCCTTTATTGCGGGGGAGCGGCCAGCCCGGCCGGGGTAAGGCAGGCAGCGGGTGAAAGCCGGGGGTGCCGGGGGGGCCGCGCGGGGTCCCGGCCTATCCCCGCTCGTGCTGCACCCCGGCGGGGGCAGCGGGGGCCCAGGCGGCCTCCCCCGGCCCCGCGCTGGCCCCGCCGCCGGGGTCCCGCTCCTCGTAGCCGGGGTTGCGCCGGCCGGGGCCCAGGCGGCAGAAGCAGCCCCCCGGTGGGCCGGAGTAGTGAGCCAGGAGAGCGGCCACGCTGGAGAACTCGGCGTTGGAGTGCTGCGGTCGGGAGAGAGGGGAGAGGGAGGGGTGAGCCCCCGCGCAGGCTGTGCCCCTGCACTGAGTACCCACAAATCCCGGCGTGCCCGAGTGCCAGCACACCCCCACAAGCTCCACACACCCCGGGCTCTGCAGCTGGCACCCACGGCACCCACGGCACCCACGGCACCAGGCACAGGTGAGGGCGTGAGTGCAGCACAGCCGTGCATGCCCTGCGTGGGTGCTGGGGCACTGTGTGTGCCAGGTACGCCCAGGTACACCCACAGACCAAAGCACCCTGGCCTGGCTGGGGACCACACGCACACCAGGGCACTGGTGCATCACATACCTGGGTGTTAGTGCACCCAGAACTCAGGTGTGTTACACACCCAAGTGTGGATGCACACCCCATGCCCAGGTGTACCTGTGTGCCCCGAGGCACCTGTGGATCGATGTGCCCACCACCCACACCCCTGTGTGCACCCACACCCGCACCCGAGCCCACCTTGGTGCATCCCTGCACAAGCGCAGCGAGTGCATTTACAGCGTGCATTAGGTGCATGCACACAGCAGCGCTCCCCTCTCCTGGTGCAGCAGCGAGGCGCAAATGCGCTTACAGCCCCAGTGCAGCCATGCGTGGGTGCTCCAAACACACACAGAGTATCAGGTGAACGGTAAATGGCACACCCATGCAGCGAGGCACTCCGCAGCGGTGCAAGGGCGCACAGACCGGACCGCACCGCCTGCCCCCGCTGCAGCCGCACCCGCTGCGCCTCCCCCGGGCAGCCCGCGGGCACCGAGCGCCGCCCCGGGCTCACCTCCACGCAGAAGCGGCCGTGCTGTGTCCGCAGCACACCGTAGCTCACCACGCCGCACGGAGCCCGCACCCACAGGCACCAGCGCTTGGGCAGCCCGGGCTCGGCCCGCAGCAGGAAGGAACCGGGCACGTCCCGCCGCAGCAGCGAGACCCCGGCGGCCCTGCGGGAGAGGCGGCGGTGGGGCAGGGATGGGGATGGGAAAAGGGATAGGGCAGGGATGGGGATGGGGCAGGGCTGGGGATGGGGCAGGGCCGGGGATAGGGATGGGGATGGGGCAGGGGCCAGGAATGGGACAGGGCCGGGATTAGGGCAGGAGCTGGGGCTGGGGCAGGGCCCAGGGTGGGGCAGAAGCCGGGGATGGGGCAGGACCCGGGGTGAGGCAGGGGCTGGGAATGGAGCAGGCCCGGGGATGGGGCAGGACCTGGGGTGGGACAGGAGCCGGGGTCGGGACTGGGGCAGTGCCCAGTGTGGGGCAGGACCCGGGGATGGACAGGACCCGGGGTGGGGCAGGGCTGGGGATGGGGCAGGGCCCAGGGTGGGGCAGGGCTGGGGATGGGGCAGGGCCCGGGGTGGGGCAGGACCCGGGGTGGAGCAAGGCCCGGGAATGGGGCAGGGTCCGGGGTGGGGCAGGGCCGTGCGTGCCCAGGATCAGCTGCTCGCACCCACACGCTCACCTGGCGATGCCGGCGAAGGACCACACGCTCTCGGCGAGGACGCTCTCGTTCTCGGGCAGGAAGGCCAAGCTCCTCGCCCCTTTGCTTTCCCCTCCCGCCGCCGCTGCGGGAGCCCGTTAATCCCCTGTTCGCCCCGAACACTCGCGGTACCGTGTGTCCCCGTGCCTCAGTTTCCCCCCGGCACTCACCGGCGTCGCGGGGCTGCTGGTGGAGCTGCCCCTCGGCCCCGCAGTCCCGGTAGGCTCCCGAGCGCAGCACTTTGCTCCGGATGGCTTTCTTGCGCACCAGCACCGGCGAGCAGTAGGGGTTCCCCGGGCGCCAGGCTCTGCCCTCCGCCTCCGGCCGCCGGTCCTGGGGGATGGACGGGCTCTGAGAGTGGCCTGGGGGCTCTGGCCGTAGGGAATGTCAGGTAAAACACCACGGGGAAAATGCTGCCCAAAGGATGTGGAACCAAAAAAGCTGTGCAAAACACCGCCAAAAAAAAAAAAATTTGTGCAAAGCATTGCGGGGAAAATGCAGGGCAAAAAATGCTGTACAAAACATGATATGCAGAAAGAAATTCCATGCAGAGCACCGTGGAACAATGCCATGCAAAAAATCACCATGCTGTGCAAAACCACAGTGCCAAAAGAGCTGTGAAGAGCATTTTTACTGCAAAGACATTTCTGCAAGAAATGCCACGCCAAAACAGCCATGCAAACCACTGGGCAAAAAGTGCCATGTAAAAAAAAGTTATGAAAAATAATGCTGTGTAAAAAAAAAAAAAAAAGTTCTACAAAAACATATCATGGAAAGAAAGTGCTGTGCAAAAACGCCAAGGAAAAAATGCGCCGTAAAATCTCCTGCGAAAATCGCTGTGCAAGGAATAGCTGTGCAAAGGGGCCGATGGCAGGAAGGGCCCTCAGGGCAAGCCGGTTTCAGGTAGGCTGAGCAGAGCATTGAGCGGGGCCGGGCCGTGCCACCCTCGGAAGAAAAGGTTGTGCAGAACAGTGCACACACAGCAGTGTGCAAAGAAAGGCTGCACAAAGAGGAAATGCAAGGAAACCATGCAAGGCACCAGGTGATGATGTGTGGAGTGACAGCGTGCTGCTCAAAATGCCAGAAAGGGTCACGCAAGAGCTGCCTGGGAGCTGTGCTAAAGCACCGTACACAGGGCGCTGTGAGAGAAACGGGGCTGTCCTGTGCAGGGCCAGGAGCTGCCCTTGATCATCCTTGTGGGGCCTTTCCAGCCCAGAATGTTTTGGGAAACGCCGTGCGGGGGAAAAGCCCCGCAAGACCCTGCGCACAAACGGTGCCAAAGCACTTGAGCAAAGCACCGAGCCTGGAAACACCGTGTGAGAGCCCCGGGTGTGAGAATCCCGGGTGTGAGAGCCCTGGGTGTGAGCTCCAGGTGTGAGAGCCCCGGGTGTGAGCTCCGGGTGTGAGAATCCCGGGTGTGAGAATCTCAGATGTGAAAATCCCGGGTGTGAGAATTCCGGGTGTGAGAGCTCCGGGTGTGAGCTCCAGGTGTGAGAGCCCCGGGCGTGAGCTCCGGGTGTGAGAATCCCGGGTGTGAGAATCTCAGATGTGAAAATCCCGGGTGTGAGAATTCCGGGTGTGAGAGCCCCGGGTGTGAGAGCTCCGGGTGTGAGCGCCCCAGGTGTGAGAATTCTGGGTGTGAAAATCCCGGGTGTGAGAATTCCGAGTGTGAGAATTCCAGGTGTGAGCAGCAGCTGGGCAGGCCGGGCAGGGCAGGGGCACCTACCCCGGTGCCCAGCGGGCCGAGGCCGGGCAGGCGCCGGAAGGACACGAGGGCGTTGACATTTCGTGACACCTCCTCGGGGTTGAGGGGCTCCCGCAGCACCCCCGGCCCCGGGAACTCCCCCTCGGGCGCCTGCTCCTCGGGGTGCGCCAGGAGGTAGCAGAGCTGGAAGGAGCGGCAGAGCAGGAGGTGCAGGGTCTGGACCTGGGGGAGGCGAAAGACGCTGCGTGCAAATATTAAAAAAACAAATAATGAAGGTGTTTTGGGCGGGGGGGGCGGGGTTGGGCCACCACCTCTCCCGGGAGCCCCACGAAGAGGTGGCAGAAGAGGGCGCTGGGGGGGCTGTGGGGGTTGCGGGCCACGAAGGCGAACTGGCGGTCGGGGAGGCTCCAGGTGCTGTAGAGGATGCGGCGCAGTGCGTGTGCCATCAGCAGCGTCTGCGGGACGGGGCGGGGGTCAGGGGCACCCCCGGGACCCCCCAGGGGCACCCCCGCTTGCACACACAAAACAGCTCGAGAGAAAAGCAGCGCTCGGAGAGTGCAGCCCCCCTGAACACTGACACCCCCCAGCATCCCTGACCCCCTCTGCACCTCTGACCCCCCCTCCCCGCATTCCTGACCCCCCTCCCCAGCACCCGTGACCTTCCAACCCCAGCAACCCTGACTCCTCTTCTCAGACCCTGACCCGCCTCCCCAGCACCCCTGGCCCCCTCACCAGCCCCCCAACACCCCGACCCCTCCCAGCATCCCTGACTCCCATCCCTTGCACCCCTGACCCTCCCAACACCTCCACATCACCCCTGACACCCCTACTCAGTCCCCCTGAGCCCCAGCACCCCTTGACCCCTCCAGCCCCTACCTCCCCATCAGCTCCGTAGACCTTCAGCCCCTGCAAGCTGAACCTCAGCACCACCGACCTCCTCCGGGGACAGTCCTGTCCGGGGGAGATGTGGCACTGGGGGCTGGGCTGTGCCCCTCTGGGTGCCCCCATTATTTGGGGTCCCCTGTGTTTCCCAGCGAGGGGAGCAGTGGTCGATCCCGACCTTCAGCGCCCGCAGCTGCTCCTCCACCCGCCCCGCTCGCTGCTGCAGGTCCAGCTCCTCCACCATGAAGGATCCCACGTACTGGGGGGGCAAAAACCCCACCCGGGTCAGCTCCGGCCCCCACGATGCCCCCCCAGGGCAGAGATGATGGTTTGGGGGGTCATGAGGGTGCAACAGCACCCAAATCTGATGTCGGGGTGTCGCCCCCCGCCGTGGGTAAGTCACCTCTGCTGGCTTGGTGACAGAGCGGGCTCGCTGCTGGGGGGCCGCGGAGTCCGGCCCCCGCCCATTCCCCGGCTTCCTCTTCATGGCAGCGGGGAGCGCGGGTGAAGGCCGGGTCAGGATGGGGTCAAGCAACTCCGATGCCACATCTGAGTTATCCGGAACCCTCCAGGGTGACGGGGCTGCAGCAAGCACGGGGAGCCTGGGTCCGGCCCCCGGTCACTGTCCCTGCGAGGAGGGAGGGCACAGACACAACCTGCCCCCAGTGTCCCCTGTTTCCAGCCTGCTGAGCCCTGGGGAGGTGCTGCAGCCCCTGCACGGAGCTCCCCAAGTCCTGACGCCAATGCAGATGTCCCCAGGTCCCGGCCCCAGTAAAATGGTCCCAACCCCAGCACAAGGGTTCCAGCCTCCTGATCACACAGGTGATGTGGGGGTCCCCATCTTCTGCTCCCGAGGTCCAGTCCAGGCTGCCATGTCCCCACTCCAAGCAGCATGCAGGCAATCCCCCACGTCCCGACACCGACGGTGATGTGAGGGTCCCCAAATCCCCACCCCAAACATGATGGATGCAGTGCCCAATTCCATCCTCAAATGAAACCCAGGCAGTCCCTGCTGGTGGATGCAGTGCCCAATTCCATCCCCAAATGAAACCCAAGCAGTCCCTGCTGGTGGATGCAGTGCCCGATTCCATCCCCAAATGAAACCCAGGCAGTCCCTGCATGCCGAACATACACTTTGGACCCCAGGCGAGGTGCATGCAGTCTCACATCCCGAACTCCAGCAAGGTTTTGGGGTCCCCCCACATCCTCCCCCTCCCATCCTCCATCCCACTTCCCCCCGGCCACGCAGCAGCACCGAGACCCCCGGGGCTCTCCAGGGGTGATCCCCAAACACCAGCCGCGAGGACAGCAGATTTGGGGGCGCTTTTCGGTCCAGAGCAGCCATGGAGGAGTGCGCCGGACCCTTCTCCGGCCACCCCAAGTGGGTTCGTGCTGCGCAGCCCCCGGCCGGGCTGGGACCGGCGCCGCCGCCTGCTGCAAAGGCGGGAGGGGGGAGGGAGGGGGTCCGGCTGCCCCGGGCGCATCCCGGCGGTGTCGGGGGGGTCCCTGCGGTGCCATCTCCCCGTCACAAGCGCGGCTTGGCCCCTCTCCTTCCCGGCACAATTTGGGGGTCTCCCCCCTCCCCCAGCCAATCCGCGGACAGGCAGCCCCCAAGCCCCGCCCCCCTTTTCCCACGCTTCATTTCTCAATGGAGCCCCCAGCCCACCGACCACCCTGGGGGTCCCCAAGGAAGGATGCTGACCCCCCCTCAAATTTAGGTGATGCGTGACACCAGGCACCAAGCATCCCCTGGGACCCGCATCCCGCTGCACCCCCCGGCTCACGGGCAGCTCTCGCTTGGATGGCTCCGGAGAAACGCAGGTGAAAAATTCCCGCTGCTCCGGCTCTCGGCCTCCGCCGGTTGTGTTTGCCTCGCCGGTGGCTCCTCCGGCAGCTCCGGCCGCGGCGCAGGGATGCTCGACCCGTGGGTGTCAGGCCCTCGCCGCCAGCCAGGCCCCGGCGAGCCCGAGCCCACGGAGCCCACGCCGGGCACGGGGCAGGCAGCAAACTCTCATTTCCTGCCTCCGATCTGCCCGCGATGAATCACCGCAATTTTCCTCCTCGGTTCTCTCCGTTTCTTGGAAGCGGCGGCGAGCAGGAACGCTCGCTCGGGAATTTGGAAAACGCGGCGGCAACTGATTTTCTCTGCGTCTTTTCCCGTCTCCTCCGGCGTGCCCAGCGGAGCAGCGATTTCTAACCCTGACACGTACACACGTGGCTGCTCGCTCGCCACCCCCTGCCCTGATGCTCAGACCCTCTTCACCCCAATTTCTACATCCCCTGCGGAGTTTTGCCCGCTGCTGCCTGCTTTTGTTGGAATAAAAATGAAGAGGGGTGGCTCTGGCCCCACTGCAGAGCAACCACGTAACCCAGAGCCTCCCTCACACCCTCCACAGGAAGCTGCCCCCAGTGCCAGGGACCAGTTTGGCTCCTGGAATGGGAAAGCAGCAGTTTGGGGAGGAGATGGGGTCTAACCCTCAGCACTGCATCCACACACCCCTGTCTTGTGCCCCAGCAATCCCGAGGGTGTGAGGAAAAGGGTCTGACCAGCACCATTGAGCCCTTGGGTCACTGCCAGTGCCAGCTGCTTCAGGACACCGCGATCAGCGATGGCAGAGCCACCCCATCATCGATAGCGGAGAAAGCGTGGAAAAAAAGGGAAAAAAAGGGACAGATGGGGCTGAAGAAACAACAGAATGGAGCCCAGTCTGGCCAGGAAGCAGAGACTGGGGAAGAGTGAGGGGCAGAACCGGCACAAACCCCCCAGGAGGCGTTTGCTCTGCTGGCAGTGAAGACTTTCCCATTCAATCCCAGTCACTGCTCCTGGACCAATCCTTTGGATTAAATACAACCAACCCTGAGATTTTTTTTTTTGGTTTGGTGTGCAGAAATCACTTAATTCAAACCACAGCCAGAGTCTGGCCATGACCAAGGTTTTGGCACAACTCTTAATTCAAGGTGCTCCTGCTCGGATGTGAGAAATCTTTGTTATCCAGAGCAGTGTTTTAACAAATACCCACGGGATTGTTGGTGTGGGGATGCCATTGGGAGGAGGGAGGTTGAAAAATGCCCTGGGTGAAGACTCCTTGTCCCCAAAAATATGCCAGCACTGAGAAGTTTCTCCAATTCATTCACCACAATGCCAACAAACCCCACGGCTTCGGTACAAGCAGCCCCAGGAACAAGCCATTAACTAATGTTTCTAATTGCTTTACATCCCTGTGGCTCATTCTTTGATCAGAGCTTTCACTCTGTTTCCTCATCAGCTGTGATTTCTAACCTGCTGTTTGTACCCTTCTCACAGGGCTGGGAACAATTTAGGCCATTTCTATATGAATTTTTTAACTCCCAGTTAAAGGTAGCACACTGAGACAGCAGCTGAAAAGAATAAATTCAATGAAGCTGTTTCCTCCCTTTCTGTGTGACTCCCCTCCTCACAGCTCTTTGCAGCAGCACGTTGGGGACTGTCAGGGACCATTGGCATCACTGCCTGGGCATGGCAGAGTGGGGAGGAGGTGAGCTCTGAGGGCAGGTGCTGCTCTGGGGAGCAGGGCCAGGGGAGAGGGTTTCAGCTGGGATTTTTGTCCTCACTGATCACTGACAAGGGGAGAAGAGGATCAGCAAGAGGTTCCAACAGAGCTTTTTTTCCCACTCACCTTTGTCTCCAGAGAAACCAGGGAAGAAAAAGGTCAGGAGTTGGTCCAACTACAGAGCTTGGCAGTGGCTCAGGCTAAATCACGCTGGCTTTGAACAAAGATCTGCCTCTGCAGCAATCCGTGGTGACTGCATTCCCTCCTCTCTACCTTTCCAGGAGGAGAAGCTGGGGTGAGGAGAATGGACACAGAAGGCAGGCCTGGAATCTAGTTTCATTTTATTTTAGCAAACCGCATGTTCTTCACTTATCAACATCTCTACATTAGCAATTGTATAGCTCTCCAACTTCTCTTTAAAAAAGGGTAAACAAGAGGTGAGAAACTCAGGCTTTTCATCTCTTAAAAACATTTGAAAGTTGGATTCAAGAAGACTTTGATATATTTTGGTTTTAAGGTAACAGATGTGGCGTGGAAACACTAATTCAAATCACCCGCCTACCCGAGAGCTGCCCCTTTTGGAGCCCCTCTGGCACCAGACCCTCAGGAGATGCCCAGGATCCGACTGAGCAGCCAGCCCTGGGGCTGTGGCTGAGGAGAGCAGCACCTCGGGGCTCAGTGCAAGTGCTGTCTGTACACAGCTCCCTCATGGGAGCACCAAGGACCTCGGCATGCAGGGATCTAGGGAGGACTCCTCTGCCACGGCACCTTCTCAGTAAAGAATCAATTCCCCTGATCATCCCGTTCCTGCTGTCTAAAGGTATAAAGATCTTCTCTGAAGAATTGTTTTAAAAGCCAACCCTCCCCCCCCGAAACCCACGTGGAATACCATAAATGTACAGATTAGAGACGTCCTAGAAAAGTCCTAAAATTATTGCAGAAAGTAAAGATGACTCGTTCCAGGGGAGGGGCAGGCACGAGGCACAGCATCGAGATCTAACGAATGCTCGGGTTGGTTTGATTTAGTTTTCAGCTTTTCCCCCCATCATTCAAGAAAAAAAAATTAAAAAAAAATTAAAAAAAATTAAAGAAGTGTTTAAGCATCAGAACTAAAATACAAATGCACGTTGACTTATAAAACAAGATTGTGGATTTGACCATGGGATTCCCTGACATTGGAAACATTTTACTTTTTTGCCCGGAGAGATTTCCTCATGGTGGATTTGCCCTTGGCAGAGGGTTTCACTTCCTTCCTCCCACTGGCTGCTGGTTTCTTGGAGGAGCTGCCACTGGAGGCTTTCTTGATGGCTGGGGCTGCTGGTTTGGCTTTCTTAGCAGGGGTTTTCACCTTGGGAGGGGGCTTTGCTTTGCCCCGGCGGGCGGTCGGGGTTTTCCTTGGCTTGGGTTTGGATTCTCTTCGCTTCATCGGAGGGGCCCTGCTCCGGGATTTGGGGGGTGGTCTCTTCTGCATCCTGTCAGGAAGAGACAGCACAGGAGCTCAGTGGAGGCACAAACGGTACCCAGAGCAGAGCTGCTGTCAGCAATTTGCATAAATGAAGCACATCTTGGCATCCCTGTCCTTTGCCAGCACATTCCATGAGCTAAATCCCAAAGAGCAAGAGCTCCTCTGGTAGCTCTACACTGAGCACCTCCCATCCCCACAGAGCTGCCAGCTTCCAACCCCTTTGTTAGGCAAATAAACATATAAATAATGACAGTGAATCAGTTAGCTGTCAGAACAATTAAGAGCCTTAAACACTATCTCTCCTCTCTAAATGGGATTTTATTACTTAACAAACAGGCAATATTAAGTCCAAATTCTGAGTGAGGCAGGTCCCATATCTGGCTAAAGAGCTGCGAATAATTAGTGTAGGGAAGAATTCTTTTAAGGCAACAATAAATACAAAAAGTTCCATGTGAAACATCACATTTCTAAAGCAGGAGACTAAAGGCAACATAAAGAATAAATACAGGAGAAAAGAGGAAGGCTTCAAATTATGGAATGGGGGAGGTCAGTGCCTCTGGAATAAGGAATGACTAGAAACTTCTGCCAATACCTGTGAGCAACAGCCCTGTGGAGAGGTGGCCACAGCAAGAGACACACCTGAGCACTCTACAGCTGTGACCAACACTTATTTCATCCAAAGGAACCACTCATCTCTCATGCTGCCATACCTCTTCTTTGGTGGTGGCTCTTCCTCCTCAGACTCTTCCTCTTCAGATTCTTCTTCCTCCTCAGATTCCTCCTCTTCTTCCTCATCAGATTCCTCAGAATCCTCATCCTGCTGCTTCTCTGGATAGAGCACATCTGGGCTACAAGAGGGGTCTGGTCAGAGTCTGATTTGCTTTTAAGGTACAACTCCAGGGAAGGCAACCCCTGGGTGACCCTGGCTCTCCTCTAAGGTTACAGCTTTAGCCCAGTCCAGAAATACCTCCAGGAATTCTGTGATTGCTCCCAAACCAAGGTTCTTTAGTCTCTGCAATGGCAGAAACATGACAGCCTGGGAATGTACCAGCCCTAAGCTGTCTCTTCTCCATTTCCCCTTTTTTCCTATCCCTCATTGCTCCCTCCCTGCAAACCCAGGGAAGGATCCCCTTTGGCAGGATCAGACTCCAGCAGCTGAGCATGGCTGAAGCTGTGAGGGCTCACATGTGCAATAAAGGGAGCTGGAAGCAGCACCTCAATGACTGTGCTGCCATTTGGCTCTTCCTGGGATACCAAGGCCTCATCCCAGGGCTCCACATCCTCCTTCTTCCCTCCTCTCCTCTCTTAAGGAAGGAACAGCTGGGTCCTGCTCCTTAGGAGCATCCTGGCATGGAGAACCCACCCCACTCCTCCCTGCTCAGGTGAATTGGTTTTAGCACAGAACACTTAAATAGCCCAGCCTGCAACAAAAGCAGCACAACAGACAGACTACGTGAGAACATGGAGCCCTACTACTGCCCTTAAAAGCTTCCCTTGCTCATGAAGTCAGCTTTCTGTTCACCCAAGTAAGGCCATTATCCAGAGCAAGGGTGACAATGTGGCAGTTCACCAGTGAGCAAACCCTCCATAACCCCCTGTAAACAGGAGGTTGGCTCATGAACTCCAGCTCTGACACCTGAGCTCTGCAAAACTCCTGAACATCATTTTACAGACAAGCTCTTTACCTGGGATAATAAGGGAAGCAAAGCTGAAAGGTTCCACTGAAGCCCTTCCCAGAAATTTGCTCCATCCAGCCATTCTTCTCACATTTCTGCAGGGTTCTCTTCAGTAGATGCACTGTGAAAAAGAAATCAGAGAAAGGTTGTGTTACTATCTTTAGCCTCTTGTCTGATCTTACTGTTCTCTACTGTGCCCTCTGAAATCAGAGCTGGAGTCAGGATGGGAAATCCTCTCAGTCAATTTGAGCAAGATACAAGATATTGTTCCTGAGCACCTGGTGAGAGTGGCCTTAAACTCCCCAAAGGAAGAAGTTGAGAACATTGCACGTTTCTGATGTCCTGATCATGGGATGCTCCTTTGTGAGTCATTCAAGTCATTCAATGTAACTACTTCTGTCCAAATTTAACCCAGGTCTCAGAATGTCCTCTAAAGTGTGTTTTAAAAACAGCCTTTTACCCTGGTTTTGATCTCCTCATGTTCTAAATGTTGTATGTGCTGCATCTTTACCCACACTGTGGTTTGCTTTTTGTTTTGCTCTTTAAAGGGTAA